AAATTTGACACGAGGGTAAAATAATTTTATATTATAAATTCTTGGGAAAAAACACTTATGGAAAACTCGTTATAGAAAATTGATTAACTGCGTTATTCATTTATAATATCTATTGTAAATTTTAAAATAAAAAATTTTACAGGTCTCATGTTTGAGATACATAGTTTGAAATTAAATTTTGGAACTGTTTGATTTTATCAATAATGATTTTCACGTCACTGCTTCGATTACAATTCCTATACAATTTCGTGAAATGTTTTCGACAAACCCTTGTTTATTCAAATAATGTTGTCGAACAATAATCCCGGATAATACGGTTTTTTATCCCTACATCAAATTGCAATGGCCAGTCAAACTCGATCAACCGACATTTAGTGAAATTACGGTTTTTCATTGCGTCAATAATGAGGGCATTAGTAATTATGTAGTGCGACTACCTTGTCGAACACCACATTGCGATCATTATAAAACAATCAATGATAGAGTTCTAATTATCAGATAGACCAGAATCGCGATACACCTCGCAAAAACCTCGCAAATCGAACAACCGAATTAAATTTTGGCGCGGAATCAATGCGGTTTCACCATCAATTGCAATGCAATTTTGATAGCTATCACCGTTGGATTCATGCTAATTTTGTTTGTACACGTATCGAAAAAGAGCCACTCTTCGAAAGGGTCGGGAATGAATTCCGAAAAGAAAGTAAATCACCCGGCGAAATATTTCCTTCGATTAATACTCATGGACGCTCACGCGTACGAGAAACAGCGCGGTTGCGAGTTCGAGAATCGATATCAGCGTTATAGGCGTCTCTGCTCAGTTGCGGCGCAATACGCGCAATGTAAAAATCTCGATATCCGACAGCCGTGGTGCTCAACCAATGACAGTAAAACGTCGAGCCGACGCGTTAAACGAACACGCTGCTAGCGTAATCCCCGACGGAACATTTTGAAATTTTAACGAAGACTGACTTCCGCCCTCCCTTCGACGTTTTTCCGTCCGCGATGTTTCTGGGGCATCGATCGCAGATTACTTCGCCGGAACTTTGAAACTGATTACTGCGAAGCGAGTGTGTATTTTGTGTGAAACGCGTTGATGAAACTGCTCCACTGACAAGGATATATTAACTATTTTCGGGGAAATATTTCACGAGAAAGAACATTATGCATATCTCAGATAGCTATGAAAAATTATGTTCAATCTTTTTTAATCCGTGACATTTATAATATTAATCAAAAGAATATTTCGCTTTTCGTAAGTAATTGTCGTTGTTAAGATCACATTGCTGTAGGCATAAAAGCATCTGCTGTTCTACTATCATCTTTAACGCAATAATATCTGCCGGTAATTTACATTCGATCAATTCGTGCGCGTCATGTCGTTAACAGATGCCTCGGTGGCCTAGTCTGACAGTGGATCAATCGATGTTAAAGTTGACAGACTGTCGACTTTAATATCGATCGGACATTAAGAGATTAATGTTTTCTCTAATGTTGCTCTTTTTAAAACTATATACGTGGCGTGTGAAATAAAAACGTACGATAAAATATATTTTTTGATTCTGAATAAAGTCCAAATGTGAGACACAAAATATCATTTGTGTTGTAATATAAAAATGTCAAATTAAAAGTTTTGAATCATAAAATAGCGATTAAATTATTATCTATTCATTGAAAAAAAGTTTAAATATCTTGAATCTTCGCATTTAAAAACTCTTGTTAAGACGCTAGAATTAATTCCAACATTATAAATGGAAAAAGAGTCGCGTACGCGATTTTGTACATAAGTGATGTGTTGCTCGTTAAGACGAAACACGGTACGTTATTTTGAAGAGCAACCTCTCCAAGAGAATCCCTCAGAAAGCTCCTCGCCAGTGCTCCGGTAATTGAGAAACAGCCATCGGCCGCCGTAAAGCGTAACATAGAAAAATACGCAGTGCCCGCGGCAGTTTCGCAGGGAGGCTTTTTCCCGCTCACCCGAGAATAACTCACGATCGGTCGGTGATCGGTAAGGGCGGGAAAGGACGAGGAAAGATCCGGGGTCTCCATGAAATCTAGCCCCTCTGAGAAGATATCTCTCGTACGAGACCGACGATAAATCGAATGACTTATTATCGCGAGCCGTGTAATCTCGGACTCACGAAGAAATGTGCGAACCGCGCCATCGGAAATAGATATGTCGCTGGCCGCGGACTAGATCTGACCGCGTACCAAAAACACGACGATGAATTTTACATCAGCATGAAGGCTGAAGTTAACAGATTTTCGATCGAAAATTAAATTGGGACGCAGACGAGAGCCCAGGAAGAACCCAGAAGCTGCCCATCGTTCTCCACTTACCGCGCTGATTGATTTACGACTGGCACAACGCAACGAGGGCGAGTGAAGCAATGATCGATCAATAAGGATCACGGTAGGTTGATAATGAAAAAGTAGAAGAAATTTTCTGATTATCTGATAAAAAAAGTAGCAGACGAAAGAACAACGAGATATAGATAGCCCGCTGTAGAGCGGGTTACATTAGCGGGTTGCATTTCACATTATTATCGTATCATAATTATATTTCCATTCGATATGGATACGGGGAAATTATGATATTCGGTAGTATGATATCCTGATGTAATACTGGCAATAAATATAATAATATTTTATATTAGATATGTTGGCAGAGAGAAATATAATCGCGCGGAAAGATGTACACGTTTGCCGTAAAAATTTGTCGAAACTCTTAATGCCCGAAACATCTATACCGAAAAGATCTTATCGCTTTCTCGGACGACCTTTAACACATGAGCGATGATGGCGAAAGATATTAATGTCCCGACTTCGTCTCAACGAACCAATAAATTCCGAGTTTAAATCCAGCGGTTTAACTTTAGTGCTACCGAACGATCAGCACACGAGTTCAATCGTCGCACGATATTTCGCCTCAAAATGTTTACGGCGGAACTTCGGTATTCTCGCTGACTTATGACTCCGCATATTTTTCCGCCCGAGTGAAGTCACATTTAACTTTCTAACCGTTCGTTTTGAGTGCACGTTGATCACAGATTGAGACAGAAGAAAGAGCTCCAGTGTTAAAATATTACTTCATTAAAGTACATAAATATCTTTTTTCCCTCCTTTTTCTTCTACTGCGATTGCGCAAAGCAATTTTCACATGCAAATATTTCAAAATCACAAGGATTTTTCAAGAACGCTTGCTGCGAAAAAGATTCGAATCCGAGGTTAATGAGAGACTACATTTTCTTTTGTTATTACGGTTGGTTTTTGTTTCAGCACTGATTACGGCAAAGTACGACGAGACCATTTTCTCACGAAAATCACGGCGAGTTCGATTCCTAATGGTCCAAACACGTTACCGCGGAGATTAACGTCGTAAAATCCGCAGGGAAGCCAACATGAGCTAAAAACTTTGCTATAGCTGTCCAGGACATGTCGATGTTTTTCCGAGGGAGTTCCTCAAATCGTGCGATTTAATTCCGACAGAGTCGTACCATGTGCTGCTACGAAACTTCGTTGACCGAACGAAATGCAGTTTTGTCGCGGTCGAACGCTGATGCGCCGTGATGGCAGGTTCGCACCTAGTGCACCGCGGTTGCGGTGATTCTATTATACGTTGCACTGTTACCGAACACGCGTCACCCATAATTATGATTGACGAACCGATTTATTATACGTGTATGCACACCACTTTTAGTGTAATCAGTTATGCGCGAATTATATAAACGGGAACACATTTCTCATGTATTATATGTATAAACTATATGTATAGCAATCGAAACGTGAAATGCAAATTGTTAATTTAGGAGTCTAGTTAAAGCTAGATACCTAGCATATGATTGTATTTTAATTTATTATTAAAGAATATGTCATTATCGCTATTAACTTCAGTATGATTTTTTTGCAATTGTTATATTTGATATAATTACCGATGTGAATAATGCCAATTAATTTTTGCTGTTATTCACGCGTCTATCGACTAAAATGTCTGACTAGTAGCAAGAATGGTGTTAGAACACACTCGCGGGAGTGTCGTTCATTAAATTATGTACTCGTCTAAAGTTATTTTCGGATTTCTATATCAGGAAAGAATAATCGGACGAAGTGACACGGCTGGATATGGTTGATAAAAGTCGCGACGTGGAGAAATCGACTCTGTGCAAGTCTGTCCTTGAATACTAATAGTCGAGGATACATTATATTTATATTCAACTTGATTTCTCAATGATACCGCATTGATAATAGAAAAATTCAAGATAAAAATGCGGCAGTTGTGTCATCGTTGCGAATTAAGTGAATTACGCAATTGCGCGCACATAAGTAATGAAGACATCAAAAATCAAACGCATTCCATAATCATACAATTAATTCGATTTTTTCGTCAAAAAGGATCAATTACAATCATATTTATCAAAATAGGAATGTTTGGTTTAACAAATACGTAAGCACAAGGTTATACCTGGATTTTGGAGCTAACCACCGTTAAACTAGTCTCGTTTGTAGCGCATCAGCGATCAAACGTATTATAGGTAAATCGAGCGCTTTTCAGGACCATCGTTGTCACATAAAAGTGGATGCACGTTAAAGCGTTTTGAACGAGAAAATTCAGACGCGTTATTAGAAAAAACATCTCGACAAGCATATGTATTTTACAAAAATCTTGCGGATTTCCGTCGATCATCACTGCTACCATCATTTGCGCGACTGTAATATTCGATATCTCAGTGCTCGTAGCTGACTAAAGACCACACTGGACTATTAATCGTTACAATATCGTATCATCCAACCGACAAATGTAATGGGTTTTTGTTATTCGAATTGATAGTTTCATAGCTCCCTTTCTCGTCAATACCTTCAAAGTCGTTGGAAGAAATATATCACTCGTGCCGTTTCATCTCTGAAGCGGTCCGCACGAGCGATAAAGAAAATCATAACGCGAGTAATGTCACGTTACAATCTCCGTCGTAAAATATCGAAAGTGCGTTGCAAGAACTTACCTTGAGGTAGGACGGTGAGCAAGAGGACTATTTGGAGACCGGCGGCGACCGTATTATAAAACTTTATTCGCAACTGCGGTAGACCTCTTGTCTGGTGCGCCATGGCAGATGAATTTTGCAGGCCCAGGTCGAGGCTCGACACCGACTTGCCGATGTTCTTCTATCCGGTCCCGACGTGCCCCGCCGTGACCGTGATGCACTGCACAATTTTGCGTGTTCACTTCTACATGCAGCAGTCACTGCCGCGAGTGTCGCCCGAAAGCGCTTTATCGCCCGCTGCGTCACTGATTATCATCATCATCGTGCGGGATGTCACGAGTCGAGTTCAATTCCGCGCGAATCGTCCGCTAATCGATACTCGATGCCCTCGCTAACGCACCTCCCGACTTCGCCGTCATAACCAAGCGTTCTTCCGTGCTCCTCGGTTGTGCGTACTCGCGAGGTCCCGGTCGCTCAAAGGCGGCGGCGTTTTTATTGTTCGCAGAGAGAACGCGCTACGTTCGCGCGACAGTGCATCCCAGCGTTTCGTGCATTCTCGCGGGGGATCCTGAAAATAATAATTTCGTACGTGTGAACGACCCCTTCGTGTCCGCTTTTTATCGCGCGCGGCGCCGTTTCGCGGCATGCGCCTGCATCGCCTCGTAAATTCGTTGAAATTGCTTTTAGTCGTTAACACGCGACAGAATGTTCTCCCTATGAATGCTAATGTTTGTTATTATTACTCATCCATGTTTTAATTACAAGCTTGAATGCTTGTCCAACGAATCGTGCATAAATTTTAGAATTAGTCTGGCTGAAAATTAGTCCAGATTATCAAGATGAAGTTATTCTAAATACATTAAAATATTTTTCGGATTTTTAAATATTAATAAAACTTTATATATAAAAAATAATAAAAAATACAATATTGTTTGACTTATCACGGCTCTGGAATGCTTACTATAATTGTTGGATTTATGAAATTTCAATCAAACAACAATTTGACTTTAATTCATAAATTACTGAAATTTTTATCGAATATCTATATCTATACAGAAATTGGATTTTAATAAAAGTATTCGTAATAAATTTGATTATAAATTAAAATTAAATTATATATTAAAAGGTAAATATATTAGATGGTTCGAGCACCATTAGTCGCGAAATAATGAAATAAAAACTCATTAGAATAGTATCATTTTCTGCTATACTTCTCGTCGATATATGATGACTACAGCATTACGAGCATTATAGCATAGTAGATTTAGGTATGTTTTACAAGCCTAGTGGTTGATTTACTATTTCACTATGAGTAAGAAGAGATTTCTCGTATTCCCCTTGGAAAAACGTGCCGTGACTGAAGACGATCGGTTTTGCCAAGCCCCGTTATCGTAAATTTTCTATCTTTTTGGTGAGACCGAATGAATTATTAATATAATTGAAAAAGTGGCATGTGCAGACTCATAAATCGATTTCTGCTAGTTAGACTAAAAATAGTTCTTACGTCAAATAATTCATTAATACTGTCGCGAGAAAATAAGCGCAATTACACATATATTCGATGGAAGACATATAATTCATATAAAACTTATAGGCTTATAATTTTGAATCATGGAAAACTAGTATTGTGCAGTCTTATAAAATACAGACGATTATTTATGTTTAAGAAAGAAAATAATTAAATTGAGAAAATAATTAAAGGAACATAATTAAAATACAAAAATGAATAATCTTATTATTGGCTTGTGTTTGAAAAATATGATGCGCGAGAGCGCATTATAACGCGTCTTTGTTCTCGGGTATTTACTTCTATGCAAAAGTACTGGATTACGCAGAAGAGGAATGCCTTGCACTTTGTGGCAAAAATATGCGAATTAATTAACTGCAACCCTTTCCGACCAACCAGTCATTGATCACGACTCCAGCATTACGATGACCTATTTATCGGATTCACGAGGGAGGGTGCATTAAATGGCACGCCATTACCGCGGTTTCTATCTATCGACACAGGTAGCAATTTTTTCCATTGTCCCGCACGCCTCAGAAGCAACAATGGCGCGAGTTTTAATCTCACGGGAAATGTGTCTGCGGAGTTTTGACGCCGCGACTTGCGCGAGTCGATAAGAACGTACCTACGAGTGTACTACGGTATCGTTCGTGCGATATCGTTTGTCAATTACGCGCACGTCACGAACGTCATTGCGTTTGAGCATGCATTCGGCAAACGTACTCGCCCGACTCTCCTTCATTCGACACGTATGAAAGAGATCTCGTTTCGAGCATTTCGAGAGCTCGCACCTGGTTTACAGGTGTCCGTGGCGACTACGTTCCTCGCTACCGAATGTTACTGCTTTCTCCCACGCGGCGGCGTCCATCGTTACGAGTACTCTCACCCCGTTCTCGACCGGCACCGGGGCTCACTTCATTACTCGCATGCACCCACCACGATTTAACGATTCAATTCGAAATTTCTTGCGGTAAACGCGCGGATTTGTGCGAAAAACTTCTCCTAAACAAAAACTGTAGCAATGCACCGTGAATAAATTCGTGATTTCAAAACTCGGTAAAGCGTGCAGAGGCGATGACTAACTACAGCACGGCAACAACAACGCCGCGGTACTCTTTTCACGATTGGCTTTTCGAATCGCGAGCACGCCACCGCGATTTCCGACCTATGTACGCTCTTTCCCGGCGGGCTTTGAGAGGGGCGCGGGTGTGTTATTGCGACTCTTGGCAGCACCACGGACCTGCGTTCGCGGCCTGGCCGGCGATCGTCTTCCTCGTCTCACTACAGTCCACCGTGCGTTCCATCCTCCCGCGGAGCAGCACCACCACCTCCGCCTCCTTCGCTGCCTCCTACTTCACCGGAGCGCAACACGGTGTTGCCCGGTATCTAGGCAACTTCGCGGAGCGTGGTTGCTCCCTCTGTCAGCAGCCTGTTCCACGTAGGCAACGAATTCGCCGCTCTCTTCACCGTTTTCGCTCGCGTTTTTCGCCTCCCGATTTCTCTTTCCCTTTTCCCTTCGTTCCGTTCTCGCACACTTTCTCGTCGCACTTTCTTCTCTTCAGCAGCGATCACGCGTTCGCGCGAACGTGCATTCTCGCGTATCCGCGTTCACCATCGTCGCTCCTCCTGTCCTGTTGCGGCTGTCTCTCCTTTCACGCCACACTCCCATCCGCCTTGTCCTCGTCGCTCTACGTGCAGCTTCTTGCTTGAGCTTCTTTTACCCGCAATTACTTTCACCCGGCCAAGTCGTTCCTCTTGCGTACACGATTTTACCTCGCATCTCGCGCGCACCGGATTCAACACGAGCGGAATACGAACGCGAGCAATTCGTATATACCGGTTACAACGGCTGCGGCGACAAGCACGACAACGGAGACGATAAGACGACGCGTACTCTACTCGTACAGGCCGCACGCACAGAGAGTACGCCACAAAGTTCGGCCGAACGTGGCAACTCGCGCTAGACTGAGACGGCGGCTGGCAAGAGGGAAATGATGGAAGATCATAGAGATGGGAATATAAAGAAAAAGAGATGGCAAAAGATAAGAGAGATAAAGAGAGAAAGAGAGAGAAAGAGAGAGAAAGAGGGATTCGATACACGGGGGATGGAGAAAACCGCCTCGTCCCTGCGAACGGGTGTCCGAACCGGAAACCGAAACCCCCCTGAAAAAGGAGGCGGTCGGGGTCGTGTACGAGCTGCCGGTCGAGCTCTCGCGACTCGCAGCCACCGCCGCGATATAGACGCGAGGAGCGCTCCCCACGATGGGCATAACCCTCCTCTGCCACCACCACCTTTGGAATAGCCACCCTCTCCGTTGCCCCTACCTCCCATGGCCGCCTCCGGTTCCCACCACGATTTCGCGGGAGGCTGCGGACTGGACCAGCACGCAACCAGCGTGGCCCCCACCATCATCGCGAGTACCGGAGGTAGTAGAATCGGGGGTGCGAAGGCAGCGGCGGGAGGGTGACACCGCGGGGCTCGAGGGGGCGCGAGAAGGCGGATGAGGCAGGCGGAGGAGAGAACCGGAGGACAGCATCCCCGAAGCCCACCCCACAGATCAATATTGTGCCGTACCGTGTACCGGAGAACTCATCTCGTCTCTCTCAAATAACAGTTGCGCGTCGTATGCTCCGTCTCTCTCACTCCCTGACTACCCCCTTGCGAAACCCCCGTAGCTCACGGCCGTTGCCGCGTGTTGCGCGCTCACTCTGTCTCTCTCCCTTCTCTCTTCCTCCCTCTGATTCCCTCTTCCTCACCCCCATTCTCGTCTTCTCTCTCAAGGGTAAGCGCGCGCGAGGGTGTGCGTTGATTCCATCGCGACCGTCGTGAACGATGCTGGAGCATGGTCCAAGTCCGCCAAGGGGGATTAGCCTCAGCGGTCGAGATCCCAGGGACGGCATAGTTTCGGTGCGCCGAGGGTGCCGACATGACAGGAGGATAAGTAGAACGCGGATGAATGCCGAGGGTTGACGGATGAATCGATTGTTTCCGAAGTTGCTAAGAAAACGCGCGTATCTAAGACAAGGCCATTCAGATGGACGATTGATAGATGGACAGAATGTTGTCAGATTAATTATCATACGTCTCGCACGGTCTCTGAATCTCGATTAAAGGTTTTATAAAAGAAAAATATGTGATGGCTTTTTCTGCAGTCTTAAACGGATCGAATTGCGAACCAAATATAAAGCAATATCTTGATTATCATGTAGATTTAAATTGAGAAGTATTTATACGATGACTTTTTTAGCGGTTTAAAAAATAGTTTAACAGTAAAAACTATATTTTTTATAAACAACAAGTTTAAAAGCTTATAATTCACTCCATGCTATTTGAAATAACAAATATATAGCTTGGCTATGATATAAATTAATATACTACAAATGAATATATGCCTTTAAAAATAACATAACAAGTACAATCGAATTGACATTGTTCTATTGATTTCTGATTATTTTTATTTAATATCATAAGTGATATATATATCGAATTGAACGAAATTGATGTTATATAGGCAGCTTCTTTACCAATAGTTGTATACTAAAGAGATTGTAGGAAAATCCAGCAAAGCGCTTTTGTCAGTCAAAATTTATAATTTGATAAAAATAAACCGCTAAAATTTAATAATTTTCTCAAAATAATCTTTACATTATTTAGCAAAAGTTGTTTGATGAAAAATGAATGAATTAATCTTCATGTTCCTACATAAATGTAATTTCTTTATATCATTGTTGATAATTTCTATTTTCAGAAACGTTCAACGGCACCACCGAGTCATGAAAATGCAGCAAGTCCACTATCTTTACAGTTAATAATGCTATACTAAGTTTTAGATTTACACAATCGCCATCTGCGTGCATTTTAGAGTTGAAATTGCATTCTGTTATATTAAATAATTAAATCAGTACGTAAAATGTTTTTTTTTTTCTAATCTGCTGTTGTTACACGAATATGCATTGAACAACAGCGTCGTATACCGATAGCATTGAAAACTGGCTATGCAGTTCCGACTCTAAAGTGCATGCAGGTAGCAGTATCGAACAGCAGTGGATAAACGCCCGAC